GCCGAACACGAGAGAAAAACGTCCGCGGGACACTCGAGTGTTCGGCATTCGTCGATCTTTATTCGGTGAAACAGCGACGACCACGACGACCACGACGAGGAGGTTTCGTTCGATGCATTATCATAACATTAGCATCGATGAATTCGTGGAAGCGGGCGAATTTGCATTTTCGAGCCCGCGACGTACGTCTCCATCCGGGGGCCGCGTGTTTCGCCGACTGTTCAAGGTCAACCACAACCGCCACGTGGCCAGTGGCACACGCGTTTCAGGCCGAACAGAGAGGAGAAGGAAGTCGAAGAAAGACCTCTTCTCTTCGTTGGAATCCCACGCCGTCGTCTTGACGTCGTCGTTTACCATCTGAAGGAATTTCTCTTACTTCTTGCTCCACCCCCCTCCCCCCTCTCTCCTCTTTTTTTTCTCTCCTTCTGTTTGATGTTTCGCATCGAGGCGAGAACGTATTTCTTGTTCTTTTTCCTCCAGGCACATATACATATGTGACACGCACGTACGTGGTGAAAGGATCGACGTTTTTTTTTTCCGTTCTCGCATGAATGGAAGGAGCAAGTGTTAGGGGAGAGATTGATAATTGGAAGCTGCGATCGGTACCGAGCGTACGAGAACGTTAATCGAAGATTTACCGACGACGGTACAATCACATATCGAACGTGTCGATTGTGTCGTTCATTCGAGGGCTCGTTGTTCAGTCGATGGGAAATCGTTATATTACTATAGATATACGACTCATGATCAAAATCGGCTGGCAGGCCGATCTCTTCCTGTAGAAATGTGTGCGGAAAGAAAGAATAAAATTTTCTTCATACGATGCTTCTTCGTCGGAGGAGGAAATCGAGTTTGAAAATTCATCGAGTACACCGTTGAATATAGTGGATGCCGGACGTGACAGAAGGAAATAATCGACAGCAGGTTATATCCACGCGCGAAAATAGAAACGCAGAGAAACGTAGAATAAAGTTTTCGAGGAAATCGAGTTTGAAAATTTATCGATAAGCACGTGTACTGAACTTTGTTAACGAGACGTGTTCAAAGTTTATTCGACGCCTTGATCGACAAAATATTATCTGTAAGTAATATCTATTATTTGGCTCTTCGTCAAGTTCACAAAGTGTAAGAAAAAAAAAAAAAAAAAAATTCTGTTCTTTCCTTTCGCCACATCTTGCTTGCCTGTACTTCAAATTAAAAATTATTCGAGTGCAAACGAGTTACCAGGCCACCACGATGTGATTTCGAATTGGCGAGTTTCGGCCATCGAGAATAATGCACAACCTTTCAGGCAGGATGTGATTCTTTCTCTCTCTTTAAATCGCCGGTTTATTCATCCGGAAGCACGGAGTACACCCTTCGGGACTGCTCTGATCGATCGTAACTCCCGCATGCATTTACCGATGGATGAACTTATAAAAGTTTCCGTAGGGCCGGTGCTCGATCGTAAACTCAATCGCGGACGGCAGACGAGTTTCTGGCAGATTTTACAGGAAAGCCGAGCACTGGCAGTTTGTTTGGAACGCCGATTGCATCCGCCGATGTTGTACAAAGTGCGCGTCTCCGACTGCGATATTTCACTAGCGATAGCAAC